AAGATATAATGCATTAGTAACCTTCCTGACACTGGGACAAAATACCTGACACCAGCAGATTAAAAGGGGGGCGATCTATTGGGCTCACTCGATCAGAGGGTCCATTCCCTGTTTCTGGCTCCAAGGCAGAAATGGCATGGTGGGAGGGTACAACTCAGGAGAGCCGCAAAAACCATAGCAGCACAGAGATAAGAGAGGAGAGGAGGACACGGACTCACCTTTCCACGTCACACCCGTAGTGATCCACCCCCTCCAACAAAGCCCCACCTCCTCATAACACAATCAGCCAGAAATTCACCAGTGCATTCGTCCACTGATGAGAGCAATGCTCCCGTGATCCAACCACGTTCTGAACGTCCAACCTTTGACCCAGGAGACTTGTGGGGAACATTTTAGATCTAAACTGTGACACACAGCATAGGCGATGCCTTCAGCCAAGGAGCACACGTCATAGGCTATATTTTGGCTTTCAATGTGGCCTCCTTGTGCTCACTTCAGCAGCACATATACTACTGTGGCCTGCTTGGCTGCACCAACAGCCCAAGGATCCATCCCAGAGGTGTCTGACATGCCATGCATCCATGTCTTACACCCCCCAAAAAAATCTTCCAAAGAAGGGGAACTTCCTTAGTGCTTGTCAGAAGTTCAGAACTTTTAATGTGATCTCTTGGTGATCCGCTGTAGGACAGACAGGCATAGGAAGCTTTTTCCTGGCTGAGAAATGGTGTTGACTGCAGAATAAAGCTACCAAGAATCAGAGGTAAAAATAGATTGTTGGATTCCTCTGCTGAATAGCACACAAGGCCAGAGGAAAGAAGAGGGGCTGTGAACCCTTTCTTTATTTTGGCAAAGAAGCATTTCAGTTGTTGGGGTTGTTTATTGCTTTTGTTTTTGTTTTTGGTACCAGGGATCGGAACTCCAGTCCTTGCGCTTGTGAAGCAGGTGGTGGAACCGCTGAGCTAAATGCTTGGCCCCAGTTGTTGGTTTATGGATAATTGTAGAATATAAAGCTGAAAGATCTTCCAGGACACTGATTCTAAAACTGTGTGCAAAACTTTAGAATTCAAGGAGGTCCTCGGGGCCGTCATGAAAGTAAATGAAGGATCAAATTTACCAAGCCATCCCCTGCACCCCAACCTAGTGAAGGATCAAATTTACCAAGCCAGCCCCTCCACCCCAACCTCAACTAAAGAGGCTCTGATTATGTCTGTGTACTAGGGACTTTCAGAATGGTTTCATGGCTAAAGAAATTTTTGGAAGACCAGGAGCTAGGCCAGTGCCTTATTCCACAAGGAAAATGAAAAGAAGGTCCAGAATGGCTGAGTGAACTCTATTATCTATAATTAATCTATAATGAGTTAACACATTAATTATATCTAATAAAAATAACATAATAATAATTATAGTGTTTATATATTGCTGATATATCATAGTTTAATAGATGGTTTAGTGATAATAAATCTATTATTTATTTATAGATTAATATACATCATACATTTATATAATTATATATTATTAATACAGTAGGATGATAGGTTACTCCATTAATGGTAAATCTTATTGTTTAATCTCTTATTTAATTCCCCTGCATTGAGTGTTTTATTTCAATAATCATTTCCCACTTCTAAAAGTTATCAAGTATTCCAGATCATTCCTAATAATATCTCTCTGTTTGGTCAATTATTTATTTAAAATCATGTCTTATGTTGTCGTGGTTTGTTTTTTCTTTTTGGTTTGTATTTGGAAATTTTAAACTCTAAAGTCTACAGTTTTTTCTACTGACTTTCTCTGCCCTGGTGTTTTGTGGGTTTGGATTTAAATTTGTGCTGATCTGAGAGCCTACTTCAGGGACAGTCCCCTCCAAAGGGGACTTATAATTGCTTGCATGAGAGCCCCAAAAGGTCCCAATGATAGTCCCCTTTCAGCTTGGATTCAGCTGTCTCAACTTACCCTGTCCCAGGCTTGATCTCTTACCTGGTTGTTGGTTTGGCATTCATCTATTAGGCAACTCTTCCTTGTGTATTTTCTAATTATTCAGCATTTGCACCACTGGTTTCAGCTCATGGTTTTGTTTTAGTTTGCTAAGATGCATGGGAAGGTAGCCAGAGGTGTCTTCATATCTTGAAATTTTCACAATGCATTAAAATGCATCTTTTATTCAGTATCTCACTGTTACTGTGTGGGTCAGCCCTTATAAGTAGGCAGTAGGCTATCTGTAGTGAATACTACAGGGGAACTTCATTCAGCTTTTGTTTGATATTTCCCACACTGCTACTTTCAGTCCTGATGCTTTTGGGTTTAATATTTTGAGAGATATTGGCAGGTGTGAACCCTAAATAAAGAGATGGGAGTTAATTTTTTTTAACAGTTCTCGATGTAGCATTCTAGATGCTAGTCCTCTGTCAGAAGAGTAGCTAGAAAACAATTTCTCCCATTCTATAGGTTGTTTCTTCAGTCTTCTGATTGTTTCCCATCTAGATCTTTGATCCACTTTTATTTAATTTTATCGCAGTCTTATGCAAGTGGATTACCCCATTTTCCTGGCACGATTTGTTAAAGAAGTTATCATTTCTTCAATATATGTTTTTGACCCCTTTGTCAAAAATCAGATGGCTGTGGGTGCGTGGGGTTGCTTCTGTTTTGTTCCAGTCTATTGGTCTGTGTGTCTGCTTTCTGTGCTAGTACCACGCAGTTTTTATTACTATAGTTTTGTAGTATAACAGTATTGTGATGTCCCCAACTTTGTTCTGTTTGGTGAAGATTGCTTTGTTTCTTCTGGATCTTTTCTGATTCTGTATGAATTTTAGGACTGTTTTTTCTAGTTCTATGAAGACCATCATTGGAATTTTGATGGGGAATTGCATTGAATACGTAGATTACTTTTGATAATATGACCATTTCAGTAACATTAATTCCAACAACCAAAGAACAGGGATCCTCTCCATTGTTTTCTCACATTCCATTCAGTTTCTTTTTGGAGAGAGAGAGAGAAAGAGAGAGAGAGAGAGGTTACAAGGTAAGCTTTGTGTTCCTATGTAGCATTTCTATACTTTCTCTTTCTTTTTTTTTATTTAATTGAGTTTATTGGTACGTTTTAGGGATACAGTACATTTACATTCATTGTTGGGGTCTTGTACCTTTACATGACAGGTCTTGGTTCTCATTTTTTCCCCTTGTTCCTGCCCTCCTTTCACCCCCTCCTCCCCTCCCCATTTACAAACACTTTATTTCCATCTTTTCATTTTATCACATTTTTTTCTTTTCCCTTATTACCCTTCCCCTACCCATCCCATCTTCCCTACATCTTTAGCCCTTTTCTTCCCATTTCACAATGTCAGTTATCTCATTAGGATCTTATGTACTATTACAGTTTATTCACATCAGAGAAAGTATTCGGTATATATTTTCTCTTTCTAAAGAAGGCTGTGGTGCGGCTCTTTCTGACCCTGTCCATCTCTGTCCACCTTTCTTTATTCCTTCATGCGGTGATGAAAGTCTGTGGTGACATTCCAGTTCCTTATCTTTGAATAGTACTCTAAAATGCAAAACGCTTGTGCCCAAACTGACTTGCCTGTGTTCTCAGTAGCCCTCTGAGAAGAACATCCACAGCATCAGTGTCCCCACTTTGAAAGGGAGCAGTGGAGTCCAAGAGGTCACCTGCCTTGCCTAGGGACCAAAAGTTCATGAGAACTGCCATGCCTGCCTCCCGATCACAAACCCATAGCTTTCCTGAACTAAACCTGCCTTCGATGAGAAAGTAAAACATATTCCATGATTCACTCATTCATTTGATATTTATTTGATAATTTGTTATATACTAGGTATCATTACAAGTATAAGTACATTACTGATAATAAACTCTTGTTCTTATGACCCTTACAGTCTAGCTGATGGCAAATAATAAATAAGAAATGATATAAATGCCACAGTAGCAATTGCCATAATGAAAAGTAATACAGGGATCGATAAAATGAGGAAAAGGGGCAGTATGGAGCAGGATGAATAAAATGATGACTTCATGAACTGAAATCATAGAAGAAAATAGGAGAAAAACATCCCCAGTAGAGCAACAATAGGTACCAAAAGCCTAAGGCAGTAAAGAGTTTGACTGTTGTAAGAACACTGAAGGGCTCTGTGGTCGCAGTAGTTTGAGAAAATGGAGGAGTAGAGAGAGAGATGAAGTAGAAGTGGTGGACGAGGGACGTGGTGAGGAAGACCTCAGGAACTAGTCCGAGGCGGGAAGGACAGCGACTTCCTCTTTATGCAAAGGGAGATCAAAATATACAATGTATGTTTAAATGTAAAGTATTGCAGC